AAGCCAGTTTCTTGAAAAAACATCAATAAATTATAAACTCCTAGCTAGCTGTAGTTTGTCATTCCAACCCAGCAATATTTTGCCGTAGTGGGTCTGGTTAAGAGAAGGTGGGAAAAGATGTTGTTAGGATTGTATGGTTCAGTTGTGAGTGGTTAAAAGCATTAATTGTAATTGTAAAAATTTGGAACTTGAACATATATAAAATGAGTTATCTCACAATCAGACAGGAGAGCTCACCAGTGTCGAAGAAGAACCAGGGGTGTAGCATGTCCTTTGGATCCCAGGATCTGTACACAGTGAACCTCTATGACCCAAGGACAGAAAGCTGTCACAATGAAGTAGAGGAGCAGCAGCAGCAGAACCAAGAGCTGGAGCAACAGACAGAGTGATGGACTTCCTGGCCCACAGAGCAAGTCAAAAGCTAAGTGCCTTTGGGCAGAAGGATTGTTTGCAAAGTGGTGTGCCTCCATGCACTTAACTGGGGTAGCCAGATTTGTTGACCCACGGAGCTGGAGCCAGGTTTCTTTGGGCTGAGGCGTATAGTAGAGTGGAGTGCCTTTGGGCATTTATCAGCAGCATTAAAGGAACTTTGTAACATTGCTGGAACAGGGCACAAACCAGGCAAAGGTACCTAGAGTCAGAGAGCGGCCTACCTGTGGGCATAGCAGGAGAAGTGGTCATGATTGAAAGAAGTGTGTCCTAAGCATTTCTGACCCTGAATTGTAACATGTTAACTTCCCTACTAAACCCCATCACTGTGGGTATGGTGTCTGAGTTCTGTGTGGCCACTGCAGTGGATTGTCAAACTCAGCTGAGCAGTGAGCGTTGTGAGTTAAATGGGTGGCGCCACATTTTTTTACATGGCCTGATCAAGAAACAAGTGAACATAATAAAATACAGACAAGAAGTAACCACCTGCATCATCACAGACAGCAGTAGTAGTAAGGAATAGTAAGAAAATACTATGAACAATTTCATGCTAGAAAATAAAAAACTTAGATGAAATGGAAACTTTTTTTGGAAAAATATAACCTACCAAAAAGGACATAAGAATAAACAGAAAATCTGAATAGTGCTAATCTATTTTTAAAAAAACAAAAAAAAATGGAGTCCTGATGTGGTACTATAGGATAAGCACTAGACTGTGAGGTCAGGTTGAACTGCAAGGTCAGACGTTCAAATTCAACAGTAGCTCCTCAGAAACCCTACACAGGATCGCTATGAGTTGGAACCAACTCAACGGCATTTAACAACAATATTATAGAAATTAAATTTGTTATTCAAACTCTCCCCAAAATAAAACTCCTGAGATACATGGCTTCATTAGAGATTTCTATCCAATATTCAGAAATGTTCATTTGTGTTATTTGCTACATCTACTTTCTCTTTTATTGTATTTTAAATACAACTGGAAATTGAACATATAAATTAAGAGTGAAAATGTAGAACTGGTTTATAAATATAAAATGCTTAGCTTAGAACAGCAAATAAAATACTAAAGAAAACTGAAGGCAGCCAAAGCCAGCCTTCTGGCTTTCTGCTAAAACTAGATTTATTTCAACCACAAAAGAGCAAGTGAAAAATTCTACAGCTTTAAAATCCATCTTAGTGTACATTTAGAAGTATACCAGCAGGACTCTAGTTCCTAAATGTGTAATTTATGGAAGTAATTAATCTTCACACCACAGTTTACTCAGTTTTTATTCATTGTTACCACAGAAAATTTTGGCAAAGAGATAAAGCAAAGCAATAGCCAATAAAACCCTTTTTCTGTATCTCTGGGTTACCGACTCTGTAATTTGTTATCTTCAACAATACTATAACCTTTGTTTGTAAGGGAGCCCTGGTGTTATTGTTGTTAAGTGCCATTGAGTCCGTTCTGACTCATAGCAACCGACCCTGTATAGGGTTTCTGAGGAGCACGGGTGGGTTTGAACTGCTGACCTTATGGCTTGCAGTCCAGTGCTGATCCTACAGTGCCACACCAGAAGTACAAAGGAGCCCTGGTATAACAGTGAATTAAACATTAGACTGCTAACCAAAAGGTTGATGGCTTGAACCAACCAGTTGTTTTGTGGAAGAGATGGGACAGTCTACTTCCATAAGATTTATAGCTCAGAAACTCTATGTGTACTTCTACTGTGTACTATAGGGTTACTATGAGTTGGAACTAACTTAATGGCAGGAATTTGAGAGTTTACTTGTAGAAATCTACAGAATTATGAGAAAGCAACAGTAGAAAAAGCATCCACATGGATAAGGAAGCAACAGATGTTCTCTATGAAACAGAAATGTTAAAATAACGAGTATGGAAAATTAAATTATAAAACTAAAGTTGATTAGCAAGGGTGAGAAATCTGTTTGAAAAAATAAACGGAAAGATCAGTGATCTATACTCAAAACTTGTAGCTAGTTATGGAAAGCTCCAGAGATTTAAAAATCTCCCCATTTTCTTAATATGAAAGTGAGCGATATGGTTCTTGTTGATATAAAAGTAGCAAGAATATATGTATTCCAAAGTGTTAATAGAAATTATGGGGAAAAGATGACTATATGAAATAACAGTTGTTTAATTAACATGGATGAAAAAATATCCAATACACACACACACAAACATATATATATATATGTTGTTGTTGTTAAGTGCCGTTGAGTCGATTCCGACCCATAGCGACCCTGTACAGGGTTTCCGAGGGTGTAAATCTTTACGGGAGTAGAAAGCCTCATC